CCAAAAAAAAAAAAAAAAAAAAAAAAAGTGTTCCAAGTTTATAGACAAACATAATATTTGGAACACAGAAACACATATTAAATGGAAATTTGGTATAATTAATTGTAAATGGAAGTAGGTGAGTTTTGTAATTCAGTGTTTCTTGGAAGTTGCTTGTGGAAGTTATGAATTGTCCAAATCTTATGGTTGCGTGTAGTGTATGGCTGTGTAAGTCTTTACCGTATTTCTTTTGTTCTCTCTCACTTTCTTGCAGGGACCAGGCGAGAGATGAGAGGCCTTTGCCGTGGTGGCTTACATCCACTTTATTATTACCCGTGAATCACTCATTTCTTTGATGCCAAACAATAAATAAAAAGTGGGTGCTTTAGTTTTTAGTCCTTAGAGAGGTGGTTTTTCTTTCTACAGAACCCCCCTCCCCTCCCTTGTAGCTGTAGCAGCCAACCTGAACCTTTATCATCCTATCTATTATTTATTTCCTTCACTTTTTTTGGCACTTTTAATGCTTTTCTCTCTATTATCTTTCCCAAAATGTTAGAAGGGGTTGAGACACGAGTGTCTCATGCTTTTGTGTACAATGCTTGACCCTAATTTTTATACGAATGCCATGCTGACTCCCATTCTTTTGCTTGAGGGCTGCTTGTAAAAATCAAAAATTACAGATTTAATCCTATAATTTACTTTTTAGTCCTTTTAACAACGCTAGGCTCAATGATGCCATACCAAACTCATTGGACATAACGCGGAACAAATTGAATGAGGGTATATTATGCATATGATATTTTGATTGAATGTACCTTTCGTTTTGCCTGTCATCATTGTATCAAACTGATCAGTATTTGTCCCATAAATACTCCTTGACGGGCTTGTTAACAAAAAACTATATTCTCGATTCCTGCTCAAATTTCCATCCCACCTCACTTTTTATATATAAATATAATTATGAACCGACTCTCTAAAGTGCTCTAACTTACTTGTTTTACCGAAATCATGATAAGGAGAAGTGTCTAAGTATAATAAAAGTAAGATACAAATATATATAAATACCGAAAAAAGATTATGTTATAATATTGAAAGTAGAAATTATTCATTTTCAAATGAATAATTTAAAAATATATATATATATATTAAAAATCTCCAACAAAACCCAATTTCCTCGATTCCTGGTATTGTTTGTGGGCACGTTTAAATTACAAAATTTAAACTCATGGTTTCTATAGTATAGAGAGAGGGTGATGAAATGAAGGTGAAAGCATAGTTGCTGTTGTAAGGTTGTCGTGTAAGGGAGGTGCCAACCCAACACAACCAACCAACCAACCAAATGCTGCTTTATTATTATGCATCAGCTCAGAAACAGAGCATGTTATTTTATTCCATTCTCTGTCGGCGCTCCCCTTTTATTCCTTTCCAATTACCCAAAAAACAACCCTCCATTCTTAGGGTTCCCCAAGTTATTCCCACTCATGTACTCCACCTCACATTCTCCACCCATCAACGGCCCAGATTCTTTGGAGAGATTTTTCCATGATATATTATAGCTTCTTTCACATTATTCTTTGATGGTTCTTTTGTGGGAACAGAGAGAGGTATAGTATAAAAATATTGGATGCTCTTTTCCCATTCTTATTCTCTGAGGCAAAGGCTTCTCAAATAAAATCCTCTCTGTTTGGCTATATTATGACTTGTAAGGTTCTATTTTTCCCTGTTCTTGGCTATCAATGGCTATCAACTTCCCTTATGGATGCACTTCCTCCAGATTTGTTTTGATGCTATATTAAATCATCACTAAACTCAAACAAAGTGTGTATGATAACGCGTTATTATATCGATACAGTTTCACAAAGTAAGAAGTGGTCGGATCCCATAAAACACAAAAAACCACATCCATTAGAAGCTTATGAACTTTCCTCCATCAACAATAAAGGCAACTTTTCCTAACCACAGTGATCAGAAGGATAAGGTTTAGACCACTCTGTTTAGGCTTAGAGCCAAAATAAAGCTACATCTATCTTCGTAATTGGTAATAAAAAGGGCACCACTTAACAAGGAAACTTATGGCAAGTGGGGATTATGCCAAGTCATGTCATTTGGGGTTTTCTAGCCGACCAAGCCCCAGAACTCATGAAGTTATTGGCCTGCCCCTTTTTTCCTCTGAGATATCATTATGATGAAGCCAAATTACTCCTAAAGTTTATTTGACAATGTTGGAAGATGCCTTTCCTAGATAACTTTTTAGTTTAGAGGCTAATTTTGTTTCAAAGTTTTGATCTGATCCAAACCTCATCCCACGTCGGTTTACATTTGTAAAAAGAACACTTAAAACCTATTTTTTAGAGCCTATGGTTATATGTGAGTGAGCCACTATTACTTTTTATTAAGATACTTATAATTTACTCTAGCAAAAAAAAAAAAAAAAAAGTTAAGTATTTAAGATGAGTAGCATTTCCACGTGAAACACTTTTTTTTCATATTAATTAATTGCTTCATTTAAAAGCATCTAAAATGCTCTTTAAGAATTTTCCTTTTTGATGATGCGACCAAACATCACGAAGATTTTAAAAAGTAATTTTAATTAGTAAATAAAAAAGAAAATTGTTTCTCATCATTATAAATAAAGAAATAAGAAAAACCCCATAAATAGTCAAAATACAAGAAAAAGTATGTTTAATACAAAATCAGAACCACATGAAGAAAAACAATATGTGGGTATCCAAATTTGCAAAATCCATTGGAAACAAATTAAATAGCTCAAACATATTTATATAAAAGCAAAAAAAAAAAAAAGTCTAAAAATGATAGAGTCATGGTATGAACTATGTAAAAGGGGCCCTAGTGGTTGCCATCCTCATTTTCCAGACAAAGACAGTCCAAATCATATATTGACTTTAGCTACCATATGTATATATGTATATGTCATATGGAAGGGAATCTAACATAAACAAATAAAGAGGGCAAAGGATCATAAATGGTGGGATCAGATTAGCCCTAATTTTGACAAATAATTCACAATTAAAAGAATGAAACATGCACAGTTCAGAATACAAATTCCCCATAAAAAAGCAGTGATTCGAAACATACCCTTCGCTTATCATGTGGAGGTGAGTCAGGCATGATGAATAATCTGCCCATGGGCGGCGCTGGCAGTACGCCTCTTTCCCCCTGCCCGCCCAACCGATGCCATTGGCGTGTCTAAATGACGCAAACATTTTCACAAACACTTGGCGTGCGTTTTGGACCATTCGCTTTGCCCACTCATCTTCCTTTTAAAAAAAATCAGAAAAAACCCATTGAGAATCAAATCCAAACGCTGTATGTAATTTAAAACTAATGAATCGATTTGCTGCTGAAAAACGCCAAGAAGATAACGCAATTATGTTGAAGTTGAATAATGTTTATTTGAAAAGAAAGAGGAGAAGGGCTTATCTTTCGGCGGAGCTTGTCAGCACATACGTCTCTCTCTCAAGACGTTGTTGTCTCACCAAACAAAACTGTCGCCATTGTCTTCCCTCTCGCCTCTTCTCTTTTTATTTCCATCTCACATTCTCAACACAACCTTTTTCCTTTTTGGGGCTTCAATTTTCAATTACCCAATTTTAATTCATCTATTTTCAATAAATTCATGCCACCAAGAATATTATGATACTCCATTATTAGAAGATCAATCACATTCACACAACCACAAACAAAAATTAAATAAAGAGACTGGGTCGAAGAAAAAAATTCCTCCAAATTGAAGTTAGACAAATACTCAATGACAAAGACTCCACGTCTCAAATGTCATTAGACATATACAAAATAACAATAACTTCACGTCTCAAAACAATTACAAGCTGTTTATACCCGCATATCAATACTATTTCTCACCTGAATCAAAATAATTCTTATATAAATATGAGAATATGTACCAAAATGGTTATGAACTAAAATAATCAAAATAAATGAGACTATGAACTATAAGAATTATGAACTAAATGAGAAATACGACACTACATTTTTACAATAACTTACAACCATTCTTGCATCAAACGTTTGATCACCTGTGGTGATGTCTTGCTCGAATGTTGGCTTGGATTTCACCTTTGGTGCATAGAATCGGCTCCATCGCGATTATTTTGGTTTAGGGCTCATTCTTCCTTGCATATTCCAATTCCATCGCAGTCATTCGATTTCGTTGTAGTTGTTTTCATTTTGCTTCACCATCTCCCGTCGATTTTCACCGCCATCGATCTCGCGCCACACCCATCCAGAAGGAGCTGTCGCCGCTCGCCACGACCGAGGAAGGCGGATAACTACCGGAATTCAGTTAACCACTTGTAATGACCTCACTTTTTTACACACGTATTACTTGAAGCGATACTGCTAACGATTTTATCATTAAAAAAAAAAAAAAAAAAA